CTTGGTGATCACCCGAAAATTTATAGGATGTAACTCAATCTCACCTTCTTCTGTACAACGTTTGAGCTCAATGAGCGTAGTCTTCGAATGATTCCTGTCTTCGGGTCCCTCGTCTAGGCTGATGTGAATATTTATGCCTTGCAACCTTGACGGATGAGACAGCATGAGCTGCGGCATATCGTGATTTGCAAAGGTGATTCTCTGAGGTCGACATGACTGGTTAGTTTTCTGGCCAATTTAGATTACTTGTTTACTCGTCACACTGTCTTCACTAATACCCAAGAGTCTATCGATGAGCCCGTTTAGGAACATTACACTGAGATCATAACGTATTTGAGGGGTTTTATCTGTAGGCTCTGGTACGTGGAAGACCATGAACTTATGACGCCTGAGCGAAACCGGTGCATTAGCAGCGTGACTGACGAGCTCATACAGACTGTTGAAGAAGTGAGCGACTAGACATTGTATACTGTACATAGAAGGTTCGATTTAAGATTACTTATGGAGCCACTGAGTCGGGAGTTAAAATATGCTTCAATGTCCCACCGAAAAGAATGGTCATTTGCTGGTCGGCAAACCTCACGTCGGAATCTCACAATCTCCGGCGCATAACAGAAAGGCGAGAAGCCTTCACATAAACATGCAAGGGCTGTTAAGTAAACTTACCGAACTTCGGCCACATAAGGTCGCATATGCTTGGGACTCAATTTCCATTACTGAAATCTGGTTACACCAAGAAGTTTCTGATGTTGAGTTTGAGTTACCACGATCCATAACAGTCGTCCCGGCTGGGGAGGTGCTGTCATTATATCCTACCGCGATGGTTTAAATGTATGATGGTTGATCATCCGAAGACTCATCTCATCGACTCGCTCTGTTGCCGTCTCCGATTAATGGACGAAGACGCATGGCCTTTGACGACTGTCTTTGCTCTCAACACATAAACGGGTAAAAGATCCCAGTCATAGGTGCAGCCATATCCCATCTCAGAGGATCTCGATATACACGATCCGGAGCTATGGGCATTACCCAATGTATAGTTCGAAGCCGACTTGAGAGGATTTTTCGCTTAAATCCTCCTATACAAACATGTCACTTCGCACAAACGATTCCCAGTAGAAAACAAACCGCCCATACTGGAAGTTTTGCCTACAAATGAAAGGTTCGGGGTCGACAAGATATTGATGAGGAGCCCATTAAGCCACAACGACATGGTGGTCATAACATGCGTCTACGTTTGTTATGTAGAGTATCCAATTGAACATTCGGAAGTAACTCGCACAATCACACGCTACCACAGCCTGAAAGAATTCGTCGCGATATCTACTTGAGAGTTGGGAACCAACATCCACCTTAAAGCATTTGGACAAAACTTTTTAAAGACACTAGTAACATAATCCAAAACACATCTGGAAGAAAGCTATTTTACTCCTAGAAAGTGCCGTAAATTCTCAGAAGCTTAACTCGAAAATGCGTGGCTTCCCTACACGGCGAACTGATACTCAGAGGAATGAAAAATTTCCTAACTCATCACAAACATCATACTACACTGGTCTGTGAGGACACAGCTACCCATCAACAGTAGCTAGTCAACTGTTTCTGACAATCAACAAAGTAACGTTCATGGATGTCAAGTAGTTTTGTTAGGAAGGAATACGCGAGTCGAACAAGCCAGGACCCCATCGCCGCGGCCAGCGATCCAAACTCATCCACCCTGATTGGGGCGCACAGAGAGCCAACCAGGAGAAGCGGCCAATGAGCACTAGGTCGAAGTTCCTTTATTGGCTGTAAGTTAACCTTTCCAGAGCTTTCCACGGTCACTTTAAATACTATTCACGAACTATCCATTTTACCTTTATAATGAACGGTGTGATTTGCTAATTCATTCCTGTTACTCTGCTCGTCCGATCCGGTCTTCTCTCTGTCCTGTGGGGGGGCCAGTGACTTCGGGTTTGATTGGTAATCAAGCGTCCATTCAGGCGAGAGACGAACACTTCAAGTTTCGTAAGATAAAATATGACATCACCCGCCTTTCACAACAGGCAGTAGGAGACTAAACACAGACGAAGCAGTAGATGCCCTGAGACTACAATACGCCCATAATTTCGAACTCTTAACCTTGTCCCTATCACATACGGTCATCCGCTTCACAGACTACAGGGTTTACGAATGTCATCTTTCAGCTAGCAACTGCACTGCGCTCTCATGGCTCTCTGATAGCCAACAACATTCGATAATATGAATTGAAAGCTACGGTTACTTAGCTAGATGAGCTCCTGTTGCGGTAATTCCAAACATGTTTCGTTGCACTTGTCCCTAATAAGTGAAGGGAGAGCATCGTCAACCTAATTTTAAGACGCAATAGTCGTTCATCCTCCCACAATCTTTTGTCCAATATATCTCCTCCCTGTGCTCTCGAAGTGATGGAAGCAACCGCCTCTAAGGTTTTAAGTCACTATCTAGTAAGATTCAAGACCTTGGCACCGGAGCAGCATAGTTCCCATCAAGAACAGTTATGTACTAACTGCGTGCTGGTGCATGAGGTAGTTGGACGGGTGTGGCCGATGATGGGGCCAGAATTGACGTCATCTACCTGAACTTTACAAAAACTTTCGACCGCTTGGATTACCGCAACCTAGTTCACAGGTCACAGAGTTATATCATTGGCGATCCTGCCGTCGGGTGGATTACCAACTTTCTTCACCAACAGAAGGTTCACCTGCTTGTTCGGACATCACTCTCCGACCTGAGTAATGTTGGATACGGAGTTCCACAGTCTGGGTGCTTGAACTGCGCTTATTCCGGTTGTTTTCAGCAACTTGGCATGAGTTATCGCCTCCAAGTTCCTGCTTCTCGACCATGGTATCCCGGTATGGATAGTGATTAATAGCAAGGAAGATCACCATTTCCTCTAACATAACCTATATTGTCTTCACTAATTGTTTAAAAGGAAGCTACTGCAGTTAAACACGTCTAAATACAAGGTGGTTCACTTGCGTCGTCAGACAGTGATGGCACAGTATTGGAGCACATAATTGGCCGAAAGCCTCTCTGGAGAGTGATTTCAGAACATCAGTTCAGGACGTTCTCGGTTGCTTGAATCCTCCAAACTAGGCGTCGAGATCCGATAATCAACGGATCGGCCTTCTTCGCACAGAGTTTGGTCGGTTTGAAGCCTCAGTCATCCCACAAATGTTTGGCGCCTATGTGCTGCCTCACTTGAGGAACGCTATCCAGGAGTGACACCCATGTCAGAGGCTACACTATGCTACTCTGGAGACTGCTTAATGAAGGGCCTCTTTTATCTAACCTACCAGCTTAGATTGAAGTCGCTAGGAATGTACAGCAGCCGATATGGGCGCCTGTGGTCAGGTCTCATAATGGTTTACCGAATGCTGAAGAGCCGAAACCACATTTGCCGCCCGCTACTCGAACGGAAACACAAAACTAACCATAGAAGTCATCAGTTAAAGCAGACAATACAATGTAGCCGACTAAATGCTGTCGAAAGTTCTTCTTCCTTTGAGTGTTTCAGCAGTGGCGCAGTTTCCCAACTGGCGTTGTTTTGGTCCCCAACATAACAATATTCACACACCAACTTAACTAAGCGTTGAAGCAATCACATTTCACTTATGGCTTCTGTTAACGGGAGACTACATAATGAATCCAAACAATAATTTTCCAAAATTTATTCCATTAGAATTGTATTGAATATCGCATGAACATCTCGGTTCTTCTACGAATGTCTCGATGCAAACAATATTGTGAGCCCAACAAGGAACTATTTTTTAAATTATTATTTTATTAATCGAGTTGGTTCCTCGCAATTCGATTCCAAGCCGCATAGTTTAGCTACCAATCCGGAACAGCACCAGACGTGCGTTTCGTCCTATTGGGGCTCGTCAGTGATGCGCATCCATCGGTCCCCTACTGGGGATCGAACCCATGGCCGTTAGAGGCTTGTGCCAACTAGCCAGCAGCTTATGCTACTGAGCCATGGGGGACGACAGCCGACCATTACGAATTGATACCTAACTGCGAAATAGCCCGACCCATCCTCCATTGACGTGCACGTTATTACCCCTGCAGAGGAATAGTTAAGTATTGATTCGTTCACCAGGATTACACCGTTGCTCCAGTATCATCAAACGAAGTTTGACCGGGCTTGTCTAATGTTCATCACTCGAGCAGGGTTATAGCGTATGGGAACGCGTTTCTCGCGGACATTCTGATAACACCAGTAGTAAATTTTTAAAAATCTATTTTACGCCTTTGGTCTTCGGTTTAATACATTCCACTTCAAAACTTAAGTTTATTCTTCGTGCGTCGCTTATTCCTCATGTAACTTGTTCTAATTTGCATTTCAAACTTGCCTATATCAATTGCTTCAAAATGTCAACATTTTGTTTTCCCTTTCTCTTTTATATCTCTTCACGTGGCCAGTGCAGCAAGAATAGCCAGTGTAGACCAAATAGGAATTATATAAATCCTATGTATAGATGTGGCTTTAAATTGGTAGATCGGTCCACCGAATTTCCTTGTAAACAAATACATAAACACAATATTCTCTAGTATAGACGATAAACACCAGGGATGGTATGGTAAGTTCGAGGAAGCTTCTAAAATTGGAACAATAATAGGATCTTCTGAACGTTCCGGTCCTATTTGACATTAAATTTGAGATCATGTCAGTTACTTCAGTGCCAAGTTTTGCAAAATCTTGCAACCTATATGCTTGCGAGCACTTTTCAAGTTATCCCAACTTACTGCTCTGAGGCGAAGTAACACTTTCTTGAATTCAATAGTTGAATTCCATTCCGCTCCTTAACCTTAAAAGCTCTCCGATGTCGGCGTCACCGGCCAATTGCACCAAACTACCAGGGCTTTTCCTAGGTTATTCACCATGGAAAATATCAGCCAATAGATACCCGTGCGAACAAACGTAGCTTACCAATCACCACTGAGGAAATGAACTTGCGCCTCATCTGTATCATGCCGTATGTAAATCCCATATGCTTCACGACACAGGAGGGCGAGTCTCTGTACTTTGATGCTGTTATCCAGATCCTGCAAACGAGTACCTCAGATGTTTTGGGCTTGGATTTTGTTTTCGTGTCTTATTGAGGTTGTGGTAGCAACTGAGACCCACAATACATCCACCTCGTCCATTGTCGTAGCTAAATGGGAGTTTTATGAATATTCCACCCATTTCACGGTCATGCTGTTTTTGCTTGTTATGATCCTCATCAAAATGGCGTACCGCGCGATCCCACACTTTTCGGAATTCATCCCCGAATCACTTCTACTTATTGTGATGGGCATAATCTTTGGTGCGATTGTAAGATTTGCATTTCAACTAAACTCGCTGGAGGGCACCGTATGGCAACTCACTCCCACGTTGTTTTTCACATATCTACTTCCACCGATTGCACTGGAGTCTTCTTATTCATTGTACAACCGAAAATTTAGCGAGTACCTGGGTGTGGTTCTCATATTTGCCGTCCTCGGCACCATCTTCAATTTCCTGATCATCGGATTTGCTATGTATGGATTACAAAAAGCAGGAGCGATGGGAGACGCTGAGCAGTACTTTGAGTTGCGAACTTATTTGCTCTTCAGTTCGCTTATCGTTGCCGTGGATCCAGTTGCTGTGTTGGCCATTTTCCAGGATATTGGGGTCGAACTTGGGCTCTACTACGTGATGTTTGGCGAGTCCCTCCTTAACGATGCAATCACAATTGTTTTGTACAACATCATGTCTGCTTTCATCGATCAGAAGTCTGTGTCTTGGGAGGAAATCGGTCTCGGCATTGTTTCTTTTTTCACAGTTAGCTTTGGTGGTCTGTTAATTGGTTTATTGATTGGTATCATTTCCTGCTTACTCACACGGATCAGTAATCATTTAAGTGTGATTAATCTACTCTTGCTCGCTTATTTCTCTTACCTAATGGCTAACTGCGTCGGCTGGTCTGGCATTATTTCCATCATTGGGTGCGGTTTGCTACAAGCAGCGTATGCGTTCCATAATTTAGATCACAAATCCATCACGTTGGTGCATAAACTGAGCAAAGTGGTTTCCGAGGTGAGTGAATCTGTCGTCTTCCTCTTCATTGGTATTGAGGTGGTCAGTGACACTCTGCGATGGCACACCGAATTCATTCTATGGAGTATGGCTGTGTGTTTGGTCGCTCGAACAGTGGTGATTTTGGGTATCACAGCAGTGATCAATGCAGTCCACATAGGGGAGGAAAGCCTTTCTATCACAAATCAGATTATTCTCATCTATGGTGGGCTAAGAGGAGCAGTTGCTTTTTGCCTGGCTGTGTTGATCAAAGACTCGACACTTGGAAGCCAAGGAGAAGCTAGTAGACGTATTCTGATTACCTCAACTCTCTTTATCATTTTGGTTACCGTGGGCATTATGGGCACCACTATGAAACCGTTGGTAAAGGTACTGAAAATTCGCATGCAAAAGGCTCGTCAGCTCAGTTTGTTTTCTGTGCTAAATGATACCATCTTGGATGAGACACTAGTTGCAATAGAAACAATCGCTCATCTTCGAGGGAGAAACGCGTTACGCGAAATGTTTACTCGTCTGAACGAGAAATACTTGCGACGATTTTTGCAACGCGAACCTGAACGACAAGACGACAAGATAATCCACGTGTACAAAAAGATTGCAATGCATCTGCACTTTGCCACGGTTGATCCAGAACACATGGATGACTATATGAAAGATGTTCCAGTTGGATTGCGTAGAAAATTTCTAGCAATGAGTTCGGTGGATTGGAGTACAGGAGAGAAGCCGAGTTGGTCAGAATCATTCCACAGGCGTCGCCGTAAATACACAAGAGAAAGTACCGATGGTCTGCAAAAAGGTGCATCCACAGAGATGCCTGGCGTGTGTGCCTCAGCGCTGGCCAAATGCATGTGTTCCAGTCGGAAGGTCGGATTACTGCCGCACGAAAGACGACTGACAGAGTTTGAAGAATCCTTGAGAAATATGCTACAATTTCGAGGCAAATTGCTCACAGATCGATACAAATTAAAATCACATGGAGGTTCGCGGGACAGTTCGGACTCGCAAATATGCATCTTGTAGCAGGTAAGATAGAAGCGGATAGTGAAATACCAATAATGCTAGAAGTATAACCTCTTGTGGAGCATGAGGTGCAAGAAGTTTCAGTAGCACGCATCTGTTTTCATTGAGTGCCGGAAGGTTGCGCTCGTTCCGTTGGATATTTTCGGGAAACATTCAGGTTTTTGAAATGAACGAACTCATATTTAATTCATAATTTACCGCCTTGACATGTAAACAGTTACATTTTAGTTTGAGATGATCCTATTTATTCCAAATGCTGGTAACACTCTGGTATCAATTCCATGAGTTTATGTTTCCTGCCACTTCGACGTCCTTTTTACACCTGACCAAATCCAAATTTTGCCAAACAAGCTAATACAATGTCCAACACTACTTCTAAACATCATTCCATTCAGGACAGCATACTGTATGAAACTTGTTCCTTCGCATGTACGACACCGAAATGCGGTCACTGATCATGTCACTCACTATGGGTAGGAGGTAAGAGCTTTTCTATCTCATTGTATCAGCGTAATTTCTTGCGCTTCCACATTGATTTCACATCCGCCGTTTGCATATAATGCAGACTCCATAAGGTACATGGTCATGTGGTTATTGATTGATTGATCAACCTGCTGGTTCCACATTATCCTTGCATCTATGTGGATACTGTACACTAGTGTTGTTTATGTTGTAACAACAAATCCAAACATGTAATGATGAACACAAAATAAAGAGTTTCTCTTTGGAAATCCTGATCATAATTAATGGCAGTACGCTAGTGAGCTGCATCACTTGCTACTGCCCCTACTTATATGCATCAAGAGGTAGACAGTTGGATGAAAGTTACGGACTGCATGTTTGAGTTCGCGATCAATTCATTTTAAGCAACTGTTGCATCATAGTTTTGATGGAAATGTAGCATAGTTAGAGTACCATACCATAAAGTGGTCCCGTATGTTTAAGCAACAAACATCCTTGAGGAAATCGAGGTTTGCATTATTCCTTATTCAGGTTACCTCTTAACCTGACGAAGCCCGCTGGTCGTGGTTTTCTTTAGTTCATATGACCAGTTTCCTTAGAGACAGCAAGTTTGTGATATTTTCGGTGATAAATACCTCCAAATTTGTGACGCATCTGCATACACTAGCAAAGTTTTAGTTCAGAAGTGCTGTTTCAGTCCTTCGACTTCGAAGGAAGTTTGACCCTTCGATCTTTCCAAAAATGCTTAGTGCGTACGTGAGGTCGCACGCGGAATATGCTATCCCAGCGTGGCAACTCTGGCTCAAGCGCCATCTCACCACGCTCGATACTGCACAACGTAGGGCAACGAAGAGGGTCAGAGGTTGGACCAGCCTCCCCTACCCACTCAGGCTGAAGACCCTCAAAATATATAGTGGACGTTATCGGCGTCTAATGGGCGATCTCATAATGGTTACCAGATCCTGAGAAACCCCAACCACGTATGCCATTCCCTTCTAATACTCGGTCAAAACACCTCGCTAAGAGATCACCAGTTTAAGTTAGTCACGCAGTACAGCCGCCTGGAATGTCGGCGAAACTATTTCTCCCTTCGAGTGACACAGCCTTGGAACGTCTTCCCGGAACATGTGATTAATGCACCAACCCTATCCCTTTTCAAAAAACGCCTTGACGATACCCTGTCACATTTACACTACGTGCTATAGCTCTTGACCACTAGCTGCTGGCACTAATGCACAACAGACAGGGGATAGTGCCGTAACCCTACTGGAGAATGACTCCAAACGTCTTGCACGTAATTTGATAAACGCTACTACTATAGAAAATGGATTTCTGTATCCTGTCGACCCAAGCTATTTGCACACGATTAAGCGTTGTCCTTGCTATCTTTTTCATTTTTCTCGCCTATGATGTGAACAATAACCACTCCCCTGTTGCTTTGTGTGCGTACATTCTCATTTCAAACTCCCTTTATACGACAGTGCAGTTACATCTGTAAGCGCCCGAACAGACGACTCCATTATCCTTTTGCTATCCTTTTTGTAACGCTAAACACCCTACGGGACGTGTCAAGCACCTGCTTTTTTACCCGTTATAAATCATTGTTCATTGTTCATTGCGGTGAGGTGCACGCCGTAAACTAACCAGAAACATTCTATATATGGGTGTACTATCACAAGCGAGCTGTTCTACTGTACCTACGTCAAACTAGACATAATACCCTAAACGAATGTTATATGTAGCGATAGTTATACTAAGGGGCAGCAGAAATTATTATGATGCTGGTCGAGTGACACATGATTTCAAATTGAAGCCAAGGCAACTTGTACGGAATCCAATCAAACGGGAGACCATCGCAGGAGTGAATATTTTATGGTACTCATAAGTACGGAATTTTTGGACTAAATAACTTAGAGACCGTTGAAGTAAAAGTTTATATATGCTATGTAGTACGTAGCTATTACTAGGAAATTCGTTTCACTCAGGGCCAACCACCTCATCTACAACTTTCGTAAATTGCATCTCAATGGAGTGTGACTTGCATTATATAGCAGTTAGCTTGTAAATCCTGTCGGTCCGAAGCGGTCCCCCGTGGCCCAGTGGCATAAGCTGCTGAATGGCGGTGCAAAGGCGCCGATGGTCATGGGTTCGAATCCTGATGGATCCGATGGATGCGCACTACTGATGATACTCAACGGTTCGAAGTCGCACTCCATAGTGCTTTTCCGGGCATGTGGTGAAGTTAACGCTTTGATTCGTTCTCCGAGCTGAGTAATTTAATGTCAAACGTTTCACCACTTCCCTCAGTGGCATCTTCAGTGTATAGCTCCGTAGGGGAATCTCACGAAAAATGTCGTTGGCACGTAGCGTTTGAAATTACCCTCGTCGATCTGTGTCCCGTGACCTCTGTTCGTTCGATACTTGGCCGTCTAGTTACACGCTTTCTTAGCTGTAGGTACACGGGATCGAGGTCAATGCGGAGGTTCAGGGAATTCTCCGTAGAGAACCATGCCTCGAGGAATTCCCTTCCTTTTCTTGTCCCTCCGTGCTCCAGAATTTATGTGTTGTCCCAGTTAACATTGTGTCCTTCCTCATCGAGGTGTGCTGAGATCTGTGACGATACATGATGATATCGACACGCACGTTTGTGCTCTTTTATTCTTGTGGATAGTTTTCTCCCCGTTTGACCTATATAGTCTTTGTCACAGTTCTCGCATTTTATCCTGTAGATGACATTTTGGTGTTCTTGTGCCACCAGTCTTTCTTTAGGTCTAGATAATATTCTTTTCAAAGTCCCAGTTGGTAGGTGAGCTACCGTCAGATTGTGCGGTTTGAGGAGTCTGACTGTCTTTTCCTATATGTTTTTGATGTACGGCAAGGCGATGCGTTTCGTCGTCGTTGGTGCAGGTGTGGTAGTTGTACTCTTTCGGTTTAGGGGTCTTCGGATGAAACTGCGTGGGTAGCCGTTACGAATGAAAGACATAAACAGATGTTCTTCTTCCTTACGTTTCGCCTCTGCAGTATTGCAATGCGATTCTATCCTACGAAACTGGGTCCTTATACAGCTTATTTTGTGACAGGGTGATTGCTGTTAAAGTTTAGGATTTGGTCGGTGTGTGTTGCTTTTCTGTAAACTGATGTCTGTAATTCGCCTTCTACCGTTCTGGTGACCAGCACGTCCAAAAAGGGTAGTTGGTTTTCCACCTCTTCTTCTATGGTGAAACGAATACCTTCCATTGCATTGTTCAGTAGGTCTTGTGCGGTCTGTAGCTGGTTGCGTTTGAAAATCACAAACGTATCATCAGCGTATCGCACCCATAATTTCGGACTAAGGACTGGGAGTATATCCTCTTCCAACCTCTGCATGACGACTTCTGCAATGAGTGCAGATATAGGGGATCCCATTGGGGCTCCTCTGAATTGCTCGTAGAACACTCCGTTGAATTCGAAGTAAGTATCGAACAAACAGAGGTCACGGGACAGATCGACGAGGGTAGTTACAAACGCTACGTCCCAACGACATTTTCCGTGAGATTCCCCTACGGAGCTGTACACTGAAGATGTCACTGAGGGAAGTGGTGAAACGTTTGACATTAAATTAGCTTGGAGAACGAATCAAAACGTTAACTACCAACCCGAGCTACAGTTATTCCGAATGTGGTGAAGTATCTGCTTTGGAGGCTGTTGTGATCAACGCTAAAATAATTACATCAACTATTCCATACCAGTGAGTTCATTAAATCCAATGCGTCGGCGATGGACCAAAGAATTTCATGCGCATGTTGAATGGCGTCCGTTAGGCTCTGAGGCTCAGCTACACTGCCGAGCTCTGGTGCACGCAGAAAAGACCGTAAGCGATAAAAATATTGGAAAGACGAGAGAATGCGCTTCAGGAAATAACAGACTTCAGCTGAGATTTTAGTAGTCGGGAGGTTTCGGCTTAATTCATCGATGTATTTGTGCCGTTTCAAAAACCATTTGCAGATAATCTACCTCAAACAGCTTTATAATGCTTTACTCTTAATGAGTTGAACCACCCTAAAACACTGCCCTAAAGTTGAAATGATGCATTTTCCAATCCAACGCATATTATTCAACTTAGTTTTAGAGGTCAGGTCAATTGTTATTTCAGAGGGGTGATTGACAGACATCCTTAGTTCTAGCACATGTGGGTGAACTGGCCTGTAACTGTTCGGAAAGCGTGGATTGGTCAAACAGAGGGCAGTTTATTGATGGGAGAATACTTTTGCGGTCAAGGTAATATGCATCGTTCAATTGCTTTGCTTGATAACGCTTTACCGCCCAAGGGCAAAAATTCCGGCTAACGCCCTTCGCTGTAGGCAGCAAGCCGTCAAAGGTTGCATAAGGACATCCTATCAGGAAATCAGAAAGTACCTAGACTATAGGGCAACACTATATACATCAAGTCTTCAGAATAACAATGCCCTAACAGCAGTGAGGTCAAAACAGCGAGCTGGAAAGAAAGTGAAGTGAACAGCTGCCGACTCTGAAACACAACATTTTAGATCAGTGACAGCTGTTGTGCTTTTTTGCAATCTTTTGATTTCGTCCCCAGTGTTAAAAACATATGATGAATAATAGTAAAGTTGTCACCATTCAACCCATATACTGAGTCGCCGTTCTGTACTGGGAAGCTTAGCTAAACTGTAATACATGTGAGAAGACATCCGTATAACCCATTTTCTGATGAGGTTTTAGATTTTTCCCATTCTTATATATGATACAGAAAATGGTGAACATGCACGCACATAAAGTTTGGAGTTTGAACATTTGAATTATTTTAGGAAATGTCATGATTATTCAGTGTCCTTAATAAGGACGCCAAAAATATATGATCCTGCGATATGAACCATCAATTTTCTACTTCTTGACTTTTGTTTAAACGCTCCACTGCGCTGGCCCGATTGGTACACACAGCTCATTGTTAATAGACGCTCATCTCGGTGTCATCTACAGCAGTGCTATTTGCCAGAAGACATATCATTGGCCTGTGCCCGTCACTGTAAATGGATGTACGATTTACGTTAGTGGTCCCATGGTGCCATTTTTAAGGACCTATGCGATTCGTTCTTTTAACACTGTTGCTTATGCGCCCGTTGCATTTGACGTTTTCCCTACTGTTGGTTGGTTCAAATGTAATTTAGTAGCTGCCCTTCATTTTGCCTTCAAAACTACATAAGCATGTGTGATTTCATGTATGCAAGTCTCTTTCAGGCTTGTCTTCGGACTTATTCTTGCGGTCGTT